TTGAAAGGTCCAGATAGCCACGGTCTGGTCTGACACAGACTGATCTGCCTTAGCTTAGTACTCTCAAACTATTGTATATTTTTTGATTACTAAGGATATTTAGTCTCTTCACCTAAACTGACAACAAGGATAACATCTGGTTCAATATACTCTGTGGTACCAACTCTTCAAAAACAAGCATCTACTGAGGCTCTCAGTATGCCAGGCACTGCACTGCTTTTGTGTAGATCATCTGCTAGTTTATCAGCCCAAGGTTAGAGCCTGTTTGAAGTAGGAATTCTACATTATAGCAAATATGTATGAAATGCGGAATTAATATTTATATTCACATGCTATTCAGAGGAGCTTTAAAATGCCTGATTCTAGGAGCCTGATTTCAAACTAGAAGGGAATGAACTGTAATTAGTATATCAGTTCATGTTTCTAAAAGCTTGAATTGTTAGCTCTTAAGTAAGTTAAGCTTCTTGAGATTGAATTTATCACTCATTTATTTAACAAATCCTTTCTTTGAGGTAAGGTACCTACCAAGTGCTAGGTCTTATTATTTAGAGCATCCATTAATTTAGCAGATTTGGGTGACTTCACTCTGGTTCCTATTTCCCAAGTACCTCTTTTGTAAAAGCTGGAAGAATTGTGGCATGGACACAAGCAGTGGATGTATCCTCTATGGAACACAATGCACCAGGCGCTGAGCTAAATGCTTCAATACTTCTCATTTAATCTCAACGACAATCTCACGTTGAGTTAGTGACTCTAGGTTAGGTATAAGCTTTTGTTACTGCTATATAAAAGGTTTGAAATTTTGCAATGGGAAAAAGTCACAGTTCTATAGCTTAACTTTAAAAAGATAGTTAATTCAAACCAACCAACCAATTGTAAGCAAGCAGTACCTGTTTTCAAGTACCTGTTTTTTTTTTTTTTTTTGAGACAGAGTCTTACTTTGTTGCCCAGGCTAGAGTGAGTGTCCTGGCGTCAGCTTAGTTTACAGCAACCTCAAACTCCTGGGCCCAAGCTATCCTACTGCCTCAGACTCCAGAGTAGTTAGGACTATAGGCATGTGCCACCATGCCTAGCTAATTTTTTTTCCTATATATTTTTAGTAGGCCAATTAATTTCTTTCTATTTTTAGTAGAGACGGGATCTCACTCTTGCTCAGGCTGGTTTCGAAATCCTGACCTCAAGCGATCCTCCCGCCTTGGCCTCCCAGAATGCTAAGGTTGCGGGAGTGAGCCACCACGCCCAGCCTCAAGTACCTGTTTTGTGAGATAGGCATTGCAGCACTGTGTTGTCTACCACATTCTTTCATATTCTAGAAACATCTATGGAGTCACAGCCTACCAATCCTAATAGAAATCTCTTATAGTAGTGTAGGGATTATATTTTATAAAATGTTTTCTTCAAATATTGTCTCATTGGATTCTGATGATAATTCCATAAAGGCAGGCAAAACAAATGGATCGGCCGGGCGCTGTGGCTCATGCCTGTAATCCTAGCTCTTGGGAGGCCGAGGCGGGCGGATTGCTCAAGGTCAGGAGTTCGAAACCAGCCTGAGCAAGAGCGAGACCCCGTCTCTACTATAAATAGAAAGAAATTAATTGGCCAACTGATATATATATATAAAAATTAGCCGGGCATGGTGGCGCATGCCTGTAGTCTCAGCTACCCGGGAGGCTGAGGCAGAAGGATCACTCGAGCCCAGGAGTTTGAGGTTGCTGTGAGCTAGGCTGACGCCACGGCACTCACTCTAGCCTGGGCAACAAAGCGAGACTCTGTCTCAAAAAAAAAAAAAAACAAATGGATCATCTTCCTCAATATGAAAGAAGAAACCAGATGTGGTCTGATGAGTCTCAAGGCCCATTTTGATTTTCTACCCTACTTCAGCCATCACATGACCTGAATCAGTAAGTTTCTTAATGTTTCCTGGGCTTAGTTTCCTTATCTGTACAATGGGTGCAGATCATGTTAATTTTTCAGCAACCTAGCTCTAAAAAAAATCCAAATTCTATGACATTATTTTAATTTAAAGATTAAAAAGAAACTAATCGTGGCAAGCCTGGTCTTAATAAACATACAGTAAAGTGGGTCAAGGAGGAAGCTGCTGATCATGAATGGGAAACTATGTACCAAAATTAGTTTTATAGATTTGATTTAATCTCTCTGGACTACACATCTGAAGAGGGGCTTAGGCAGCAAAATGTTTCTTTATGAGGCTTAAGGTTGGTGAATTTGGGATTCTGAATTGCAGAGTTCTTCTGAGAGTCTGCCTGGAGCGCTGCTTAAGCACAAGGGGGCTTTGCTTGATGGTAATTCGGGTCAAACTTCCTTGAATTTTGATGAGGCAGCTGGAGTTTCTTGAAAATATTCCTCAGCTAGATTCAGAATAATTCTTTCTACGCTTCCCCTTGTATTCCTCTTATTTGTGGGAACTTAATCATGAATGCCTGCTTCTGCCTCATGGGAAGCCATCATCCTTCAGATCTCTAAATTCAGTCATGGAAATGACTTCTACAAATAGAGACCTCTGCTCTACTTGCAATGGAGAATGAGCAACCCAAATGACAGATTCGGGACACGCTTGTTCTCATGCAAATAGTTCTATCAGTTCAACAGAAGGAAATGAAAAAAATGTCGGGGCCACAAAACAGAGAATAATTATCTAGGCACACACAACATCAGCTGATCTTTAACAATGTCTTCCAAGAATTCCATGCTAACCCTTACCAGTTTTCCAAATGTAAGGGCATGTGAGCTCAAGCTAGCTACAGGACAGCTCACGTTTCAGGTCCCTTATAAAAGTCACGAGAAAGCTGTGCGCCTCACGTCTCACCAGCAGATAGGCCCAATTTCTGGATTGGATGTTCTGCTAGAACAGCCATGGAGAACCTCTGATTTTAGTATAGAGAATTTGTATTTTCAATTACAGGCTTTTTTTGGTGAAGAGGGGTAAGCACTCTATCCTTAGTTGACCGTGGTTGCTATGGCTAAATCTCTGAGCACTTGTTTTAGCAGCTGGATCACTAAATAAATTTAGTCTTTATCTTCTGAGTCTTTGGTAAAAAGCTGGTTAGAATTTATTCAAGGCAGGAGAGACATGTTTGGCACCGGATCAGACAGTATATTTTATGGGTTTCTGTGTTCCATTGAGATAAAATTACAGAAGACGGTGGAGGAAGGTGAGGGGGCCTCTTGGCCCTCAGTGTTGCTTTCTCCTGTTAGACCATTTTCAGGATTCGTAATGACCTGGAGGCTCCTTGAACAGGCCTCGCCTGTCTAGAGAGGTCATCACTACTATGTTGGTAACCTCAATTAGGGGATATGAAATCTTTCAGAGTCACTGCTTCCATTATTTACTGTATTTGGTCTGGAGGTTTCTCACAGTCCTCTGTAGGATACAGAAAGAGAATCTCTACTCATCAGTTCGCTACCCTGATAAGGAATATCATTACCCAGAGGGAAGTGGCAACACAGTACTGTTACACTATAGATCTGTAGGTTGGTAAGTTCATGATTTAAAAACATTCTAGGCTGGTCCGATGGTAGTGGGTTATCAGAACTTATTAACACTAGTGTCACTAAAGCTGGTATTCAACCCCCCCACTACTAAATTTGACTGGCTTTTAAAAAAACAACAACAAAATATTCCAGTGTAATGTATGGAATGGTAAGAAAACACAGGCAGGTCGAACCTTTGGCTCACATGCACTATTACTGTTAGGGCCACTGGTTATCTTTAATGAAAATTATTCATGCCAAAGCCTTATTTTAACTTTTCTCTATTACTTTATGATCTATGAGGCCATTTGGGTTCTAAGAACACAGCTCCTATTTATAACAGTATTTCAATAGAGAATAAGCTCTGAAAAAACACTGTTTTGAATAAAGCTCACATTTCCCAGAAAATAGCCCCAGTGTGATTCAAATAAGCATGGCATTGTGTGCCGATAGGCCCTTGAAACCTGTGGTAGCATGAGCTGAGCACACAGGGAGAATCCTGCATTTGGATTTACTGGTACAGACCAAACTTAAAGCTACAGCTCTGGGGACCTCTCAATTATCCCCGCTTGCTGGGGCGACACTTTGATGTTGGCATTTCTCTGCCTAAATTTGTCTCTGTATAGGTGAGAACACACTGACCTCCTGAGCCGGGCACACTGTGGATATGGGATACAGGACAAGCACTTTGTTGCTACAGAACAGTGTGCTGGACCTTTAGCCTGAGGTGCTAGTCCTATGGAAGCATTTGACAACACAAGCATTTGACGACATAACAAACCCTCCTCTGGGCAAGATTCCTCTCCAAGCAGTGTCTAGTAGAAAAACGATCCTCATCAGAGAGTATAGGAGCGTGGCCTCTGGTCATACAGAACCTGAGTTTGAACACGAAGTGGCTGAGAACCTTAGGCTGATTACTCAGCATCTCTGACGCTCAGCCCCCTAATCTGCACAGTGCCCATGACTGCAGTACCCACCTCATTTTGAGACCATTAAATGAGAAGTACCTGGCCTAGGGCCTCTCATAAGGCAAGCGCTCATAACTACTAACTACCACCGCTACTACTAGCATCTTCAAAAGAGGGATTTTAGTGTTGCAAAAATTAAGTTTTCAAAGAATTGAAACTCCACCCCATATTATAAAGAGTACAGGTTCTAGAGCCACGTGGACCTCAAACTGAATCTCAGCTCTACCACTCACCAGCTGTGTGGCCTTGAGAAAATCACTCTACCTCTTTGAGTCGAGTTTCCTCTTCTGTAAAACGGGCACAAAAATCACACACCTCACAGGATTATCATGAGGTTAACAGAAGATAATGCACGCAGAGTGCCCACACACTGCCTGTCCTGCAGCTGGTGCCTGGCCGGTGGCAGGATCCCTAGTTCAAGCTGCCCCTGACAACACCTTCCATACTCTGCCACTCGAATGTGGCCGTTCTTATCTCAAAGCTGGGCAGATCGCCAGCTCTGAGGATGGAGTTATACAAAGCCCTTCTCAAAGCCCGTACCTTTCCCGGCGTTTCTAGGAGGCAGAGGGGGCGCCTCTGCAGTTGGTGAAGTGGGCGAGTCTGTGCTTGTGGAGACGAAGATCTGGTTGGTGAAGGCTCCGTAGGAGAGCCGCTGTTTGTCCCTTGGAGTGCTGAACCCTGGCAGTGCCAGCTTGTCCTGGGGGGAGATGCTGGAGGAGTGGCAGAAGCTTTGAGGTCTGGGCGAGCGCTCTTTCTTGATGGGGCTTGGCTGGCAGATGAAATAACAGTGGGTGAGATAATAATCAAGGACTTCCCTTTGGCTTACCCAGGACCTCTGTAGGGTGGGCTCAGATAGTGATCGGGGCTTCTGTGGCTCTCTGCGCTTTATAAGGCCAGCCATGAGAGCCTCACAGTGATGACACAGTAAGAGGGAAGGATCTAGATATGTTTCTACTTCTTACAACACCGTCAGCAGTCACACTAGTGAAACACTGGCTAGAGAGCAGCAGCAGTATTCAAAAGCACCATGTAAGGTCCCAGGTAGATATAACCTTTAGTTAACAAATACCTTCCCCAGACAGCACACTTTCATCAACACTTGAATAGCGTTTATGCCTATTTGTCATATGCTACATTGAGTTTTCTTCCTTCCCTGCTCTACTCTTTAATGTTGAAGTAAGTTCTCATTCTTTACTTCACTTTAAATCCTCTTGGAAAGTATACTCAAGCTTTGACTGCCAGCTACACGTTGACGACTCAAAGATCTGTAAATTCTGCCCCAATCTCTTAGATTACAAACCATTTTCAATGGTCTATGAGGTGTCTCTAAGTGTTTGCACTCGTGGTGATGGCATTAGCAGCCACTCAGCTGCTCAAGTTTGAAAACTCAGTGTCATCTGGAGTCCCCCGTTTCTGCACAGATACCTCAGAACTGTCCCTCAAACCCACTCCCAGTGCAGGTGCTCACCAGCTCCCACTGCGGCACTAGCATCCCAAGCGGCCCCTGACTCCAGTTTCTTTCCTCCAGTCCATTTTCCACACTGCAGCCAGAGCTGGTAGGAAATATTGCTCTTCTGACAATAAACCTCTGTTGACTTCCAATTGCTTAGATAAAAATCCAAAAAGGCCTAATCTGTCCCACAAAGTCCTGGCTCTGGCCTGACTCTGCAGGGCAGCTACACACCTCTCCCCACTCAGCCAGGTGAATGCACCTCACACATGATGCTTCTCAGCATTCCTCAGGCATCCAGGCTCTATCACAACCCCTTGTCTTAGCATATCATAGTCTCCCTCCCTGGGATGATGCATTTCTACCCACTTTGCCTGGTTAGCTCCAACCTATCCTCAGAAACCCATCTCCAAGGTTACTTCTTGCTACGATCTTCAGTGTTTGAGAAGGCTGAGGCATCTGTCTGGTCCTCTGAATACCTTTCAGGAACTCCCCCAAACTCTTACAATGGTTATCAACTAACTGTATTAAAATACTTTATCTCCTCTTAAAGTGGTTAATGCCTTTAGGACCTCTTTCTCTGGTGGTCTTTTTTGGACCATTCTTTACATTCTGCCTGGCATACAGGAGGAAATGTCCAATACAAACCCAATGAATACATACATAAATTAACTTTCAGAGACAGTTAAGAACTACCTGTAAAAAAACCCCAGTAAGAACTGGGTTTAATCCCACAGATTGTCTTTACTAGCTACGAGACTTTAGACAAGTTGCTAAATTCTCTGTGTAAGTTTTCTCTTTTGCAAAATGGGGATAATAACAATGATCCTTATGGAGTTTCTGTAAAGACGGTGTGAGAAACATAAGTAAAATGCCTAACTCTGCCTAATCCAGATTTAAGTACAGTCATGTGGCGCTTAATGTCAGGGATGTTCTGAGAAATGTGTTGTTAGGCAATTTCATCCTTTTGCAAACATCACAAAAGGGCACTTAGACAAACCTAGATGGTATAGCCCACTATATGCCTAGGCTACATAGTATAGCCTATTGCTCCTAGGCTACAACCCTGTGTAGCATGTTATTGTACTGAATATTGGAGGCAACTGTATAACAATGATAAGTATTATATATCTAAACAGAGAAAGGGTAAGTAAAAATATGGTATTAAAAAAATGGTACATCTATATAGGCTACTTACCAAAAATGGAGCTTGTAGAACTTAGAAGTTGCTCTAGGTGAGTGAGTGTGTGGTGAGTAAATTTCCTAGGACTTACTGTACACTTTTATATGACTTAAGTGCAACAGGTCTGTTTACACCACTATCACCACAAACACACGAGTAATGCACTGCACTACAACATTATGACGGCTATCATATCACTAGGTGACAGGAATTTTTCAGCTCCATTATAATCTCATGGGACTACCATTGTATATATAGTCTGTTGTTGACTGCAGTATCATTATGCTATAATTGTACTAAATAAATGACACTTATTATTTATTAATGAGCTGTTTTGAAGGTTAATTCTGCATGTCAACTTAGCTAGGCTATGGTGTCCCAGTGTTGGTCAAACACCAGTCTAAATGTTGCAGTAAAGGTAGTTTTTTTTAGATGTAATTACTATTTAAATCAGTGGATTTCAAAGGGCATTACCCTCCACAATGCGGATAGGCCTCACCCAATCAGCTGAGGGGCTTAAGAGAAATAACTGAGGTCCCCCAAAGAAAATGGAATACTGCCTCCAGACTGCCTTTAGCCTCAAAACTGCAACCTCAACTCCTAGGATTTCCAACTGTTAGGTGGCCCTCTGGGCTCTGGACTTACCAGCCCATTCAGTCATATGAGCCAATTCCTTAGAAAAAGATCTGTTTCTCTCTTCCTATCCTGTTGGTTGTTTCTTTGGAAAGCTTTGCCTAATATAACTGTTAAGTGATGCCCAAAAAGGATCAAATACAGCAATGAAAATGGTGTTGGTAGATTGGATCATAAGGCCAAAATCAATCAATCTCAAAAAAAATGCATCTTGTCCGTACAGAGTAGAAAAGCTGGGAAAAGTGCTGAGGAATTTGAGGACATCCTTTATAAACTCACTTTGTCATCCAGATCATCATCACTTTCATCCATTTCCTCCTGTCGAAGATTCCATTCATACTCTACATGGACATGAGGATTGAACTTTCCAGATTTAGCTTGGGAAAGCTAGAAGAAACAGCAAATGCATACCATTTTAATTAAAATGCCAAAACATCCCAATATTATACAAACACTGAGCAAATCCTACCTTATTCCTGGTTTTAAATGAATCATCAGTAGCTGTACTACATGTAAAACTCTGATCAGACAAGCTGGATGCCTACACAACAGGCTTAAGAGGAACCGCAAAGAATTATAGGCAGAACCTTCTTTATTTTGGTAACTTGACTTCTCTCCAAAATTAAAAGCTTCCGTAATATTATCAAATGGGCTTCAAAACTGCAAATTCCTAGCTAGAAGACAAAATCAGCCCGAGAAGTTTAAGACGTGGGCCTATAATGCTCCAGTCCAATCCATGGCCCCCTTTTCTTATTTATAAAATAGGGTCAGGGATAAGTATCTCAAAGGATCCTTTAAGAACAGAAAAGCACAAGTTCTGGGCCTGGAACCTGTCACTGAAGCAGAAACTCAAGAGACTCATGCTGAAGTGAAGGCCCAGGGTTATTAAGAAAGAACTAGTAGGGTCAAAAATGGCGAGTGTGCAAAGAAGGATGGGGAGGGGCGGGGAAGGCAGCATGTTTAAAATTTTGAAAATCATTACATTCTGAGCTTGACTTGCCCAATTTTTGGAAGTGCCATCCTAAATAATTCTTTAAGCTGGCAAGTACAAAGAAAGTCTGGCAAGTACAAAGTGTGATCTCAATCCACAAGCCTACCTGGTAATAATACCTCTCAGATACCTTTCAGCTCCTATGTCATAACTGCACTCAGAAGGCATCTGTATGACAAATTTATCATTTTACCACTTATTCAAATATAGTATAGTGCTTATCTAATTTTCTTTAGCTAATGTTAAAAAAAAAGAATCTTCATCTTCAATTTCATTTTTTCAGAATGACATTTTAAGGCAGCTGATGTCTAATAAATCTCCCATTTCCATTTTTGCTTACCAGATCTTCACACTGGGTAGCCTTTAGTCTCTTTGCTATGTCCAGGGCAGTTTCTCCAGCCTGGTTAACTGAAATAGGGAAAAAACAAATTTGTATAATTATCTAGGGTATCTCTTAAAAACCTAGGAACCATAAATAAATTACAATGTAACACACAAGTCTTGGTTTTAGCAGAAAAAGAACTAATGCTCTTACTATAAAGAGAGACACTTGGCTACACTCTTACCAATATCCACAGTGGGCTTGCTCCTGAGAAGAAGCTTCAAACACTCAGGTTTACCGTACATACTACAGTAGTGTAGAACTGTATTTCCCAGGGCTGTCTGCTTATCCAGGTTTCCACTGAAAAATTATAGTATCATTAGAAAAAAATTACTCTGTAACTTAAAACTATGCATTAGCCACTTATTTCTGTGCTAGCAACCAAGTCACATTTGAAACCTACTTAGAAACAGAGAAATGGACGATGTTGCAAACATTACACCTAAATTTATAGCAATATAATGATAATAGTCAGCATTTATTGAGTGTCCACTATGGGACAGTCTCTTAGCATTTACATGTATTAGTTCATTTAATCTTTACAAACATCTGATGAGGCAGGCAATGTTAATAAACTCTACTTTATAGATGAAAACACTAAGTCACAAAGAGGCTGAAGTGCTTGCTTTTAAGATTATCAAGACAGGGATGATGAAGCTGGCATGTGAACCCGGGCAGTCCATCTCTGGAGCCAATGCGCTTAACCTGTATGTTATATTACCTCTAAGGAAGAGGTCTGAACACACACAATCTGGCTGTGATCAGGCATCATCTTCATACATGGGTTCAAACCTTCTTACTCTTTTGATTACTCTCTTTTGGATGAACTCTGGTTCTTCTTATAATTGGTTGCTTACAGAACTGCCCAATAAAGAATCCAGCAAGTCCAAACTTCCTGTGTTCAGTATCACATTCACATCACTATGTCCCAAATTTGAATTAGCTGTTGATCCAGCCACACATGCCGCTGTCTTATACTAAACTTAGGAACAATGCAAACTCACAAATCTGGATGACCTGTGCTGATAAGTCTTCTCTCTTTTAACCTCCTCTAGTACAGCAGATTTTTGGACACAGAGGCAGGATTTTACATTTATCAAGGCCAGGAGTTGGCGAGCTATAGCCTGTAGACCATATCTGGCTTATTCCCTGTTTTTATAAATAAAGTTTTACTAGAACACAGCCACTTGTTTACACATTGTCTGTGGCTACTTTCACACTAAGATGGCAGAGGTGAATAGCTGTGACAGAGACCTCATGGCCTACAAAACCAAAAGTATTTATGATCTGGCTTATTACAGAAAATGCTGGCCAGTTTCTGATCCAGGCCGCTCATAGTACTGGTTTGTGTTAACTGATTAGGCATATTCAGGTAATTCAACGGAAAGAACAAAAACCACACCAGTTTTGTACGAGGAAGTCAACCAAATGGAGAGATGTCTGATCCGCAGTTCGGACTGCAAGGTGAAGGGCCGTCTCCCCAAGCTCCTAAAAAGGGAAAGAGGGAAGCATAAATAAGATGGTCATATGTTCTGTTTGCTTAGAGCAGCTTCATTTACCTCAGTTGCCCCCAAGTAAGTATTAAGAGCACTCCTTTTCATTCTCAAACCCTCTTGGTTTAGATATGGTCATCCAATGTATAAGAGTTTCCTTACATGGCATTACTATAAAAGAAATCATTTTACATTGATTTTCCACATTACGTTTTCTTTTTTTTTTTTTGAGACAGTCTTGCTCTTGCCCAGGCTGGAATGTGGTGGTATCATCACAGCTCACTTGAAACCTCTAATTCCTGAGCTCAAGCAATCGGCGTGTCTCAGCCTGCAAGTAGCTGGGACTACAGGCATGCTCTAACACACCCAGCTAATTTTTCTATTTTTAGAAGAGATTGGGTCTTGCTCAGGCTGGTCTTGAGCTCGTAGCCTCAAAGAGTCCTCCCGCCTCAGCCTCCCAAAGTGCTAGGATTACAGGTGTGAGCCACCGCACCCAGCCACACATTACTTTTTATTCTATAATTTTAGTGAGGCCTTGCCTGTCCGGGTTCCAGCAGTGGTTCCATTAGCTCTACTCCCTCTGCATAGACTTGAATTAGTGCAAGTAAATCCCTGGATTTGATGGCCTCAAGCAATTCATTCAGTTTAGCTGAGGAAGTAGAACAGGTCTTCCTTGAAAACCTATGATCTACATATTTTGCAGTGATATATTCTTTCCGTACGGTCCTAAAACAGAACAAAACAAAATGAACAAAGAATTTTTATTTTCCACATGCTGAGTAACACTCACATTTTTCTTACGATCATTTCTCTTTGAGAAGAGTTATTTTAATTAAGATATACTTCTTTTCAGTATTCAAACGAGGCTTTAGACCAAGTTATCACAATAGAAACAGAATGAAGAAACAGATATATATTTATAGGTACAAAGATCACAGATTTCTTTTTCACTTTGACCAGTAATATGAGAAATATGCTATTTACTAATACTTCAAAACCAGGTACATATAAGTATATGAAGAAATTTAAAAAGTTAAAAAATTCTGAAAGACCGATTCAAAGTTTTCAGAGCTTTGTGGAAAGGATTTTTGTTATCTCCTATAACTACTTTTTTATAAATGAGGAAACTGAGGCTCAGAAAGGTTGTCATTAAAGCAACCCCCACAGGCCAAGCACTGAATTGCAAAAGGATAAAGGTGAATGTCTTTCCTGCACAGGTTGCTGCGGCCCACGGATAACCTGCCCAAGTCTGAGCGGGTGGGATGCATTTTTCTTCTCTTGAGGAATCAGCTTCTTTACTTCAGAGTTCAAATGACTCTTTCTGTGCACTCAGCCCACAGTACCCTGGCAATTAAAGGCCTTCTGACATTGGGGCAATAGGGAGAGTGGAAAACAGATTTCTCTAAAAATCTGGATATCAGAATTCTAGTCCTATGGCTGATAAAGACAATTTTCCATATCTGTCCCCTCAAGCCTGGTCCTCTCCTCCTCTACTCTGTTTCAGTTAATGGTACTGTCCATCTTCCTTGATGTTTAGGCCAAAAACTTTGGGTGTCATCTTGACAATTTTCTTAAACTTTCATATTTAAACTGATCAGCAAATCCTCTTGGTTCTCCCTTCAAAATATATTGAGAGTTCAACTACTTTCAACACCTTCGCTGATACTACCTTTGTCCGATTTATCTTCACCTCTCAGGGATCTGGTGTGACAGCTTCTCTGCAATCTGTTTCCATCTGCCCTCCACTGTCAGTACAGCCTATCCTTCATACATCAGCTGCAGCTGGGTCTCCCAACCTTGGCCCTACTGACATTTTGGGCTGGATAATTCTTGTTGTGGATGGCTGTCCTATCTGTGCATTGTAGGATATTTACCAGCATCCCTGACCTCTACCCACTGGGCACCAGTATTATCTGCTCAAGCTGTGACAATAGAATGACTCTGTTCATTGCCAAGTACCCTCTGGGGGGGGCAAAGTCATCTTTAGTTAAGAACCACTGAGCTAAACTGATCCACTTAAAATATAACTCAGATCTTGCCACTCCTGTTTAAAACCTCACAATCACACTTAGAATAAAATCCCCAAACATCCGATAACCTCCAAGCCCTACATGATCTGGCCCCACCTCCATCTCACATGGTACCTCCTACCCATCTCCAGATCATTCCTCTTGCTTAAGTTCCCTCCAGCCACACCTGCCTCATGAAGATCTACCTCCACAGAGTGGGTGCTAGGCTGCAACTACCTAGGAGAAGGTGACAGCGAAAAGCATCTATGCATCCCAGAAATATATTTCAAAATATTCTCTTTACTCTACCTTTTCCTGATAATGGGGTTTCCTCTAGGAAAAAATACTATAAAAAACTAAGAAGTTTTTTGAGAGGATAGAAAAACAATTACAGAATGGTAAAAGTCAATGTATTAGAAATACTTACATATCACTTGAAGGAGTGGGTTTTGGTGAGGGGCTGGGTAAATTTGCTTCCATAATATCATTAAAACTATTGTTTCCTACATTCTTGGCCAGCTGTAACAAACAAAACAACAACAAAAAAATAATATAGCAAGCTCTTTACTACTAGTTAAAAATGTCCTATTATTTGCTTTTGAGATTTCTAAATACGTATTTTCCCTCATTTGACTTATGATATAATCCATCTGGTCAACAAATATTTACCGAGCATCTACTACTGCCAGGTGCTGAACTTTGAGTGCTGGAAATGCAGAGATGGGTAAGCCATGTTCCCTTCCCATAGGTGCTAATAGTCTAGTGGGCCCACTGACAAGAAAATCAATAATGTCTACAAATATTAATATAATGTCATAAATGTTAGACTAGAATAGGATCTGGTTCTACACACATACAAACTATCTGAGATTAGACACAACAAGTTCCATTATATGAGTCTAGGTTAAACTCTTAATGAACAGCAAAAGTTTTTCAACCACCATCATATCTCCTTTATACTGAACAAATTTACTTACAGGACAGAAAAAGATATAGGATTACTTGCAGGCAACAGAGGACCCAGGAAGTTCTGGGTTCAAGATCATTCCAAGAATATTTGTCCTAAAGGGCCTCTATTCATTCATGTAATTTTGGGATCAATGTAAAGAAATATTCACACAACCACGTCTTTGGGGGAAACTCTTAGGTTTATCACACAGCAAGTGTTTAGGATTTGGACTTTCCCATTTCTAGTTATCAAATCGGGTTTTGTTAATACAAGTCAAGTAGATGAAGCAACACCATTTCTACATTGAAGGAGAATGCATTTCAAGTGTTAGGTCTGAGCTTTTTTCTCTATAATCCTGAAGTGAATTAAGGAGTTGAGTATCAGCATAATTTCCTACTTTCAAAATGAAAAAGAGTACCTTGTGTTGTCCACACAAGACAGGCCATCATTGCTTAATGGATGTCACATGGCCAGGGCTACCTGTTTGGTGACTAAACTTCCCTGACTTTTTGGGTACTTTTCTCCAGTTAAGGCTAGCGATAAGCTAGACTTTCAGCTTCTTTGACCTAGGTTCCTTAGGTTCTGCTCAAGCGAGAGCCTCTGTCTGAGGAGTCCTATTTTACTTAAAACGTCTGACTCTTAACAAAAACCCAAAGAAATATATTAAATATATTCATGATGATAAACCTTAAAGTTTTCTTCTAAAGTACAGGTTAATACTTACCAAGAGTTCAGAAGTTCCTAATTTGTCTAGTTCCAAAGACTGAATGCGAGAAATATGAACCCCCATTTCCCTATGGATGCCAGAACACTCTATACAAGTCAAAATACCCAAGTTGGTTGAAAGCCAGGTAGGTTCTGTGGAAAGAATTTTGAAGACAATGAAACAAACAAGATAACTGATTTTAGTGGGCCAACTGCAGAAGAAACTAAAACAGCAGTAGTAAAACTTGTTAAAATATATCATGAAGGAAAGACTTACCTGGAAGAAAGGATGCTTGTGATTTAGCTAAGAGGCTATTATAAAAGTTTCCCTTTGGAAACTAAATAAATAACTACACTGAAATAAAAATTAAGCACTTTATCCTTGTGAAAATGTAAGAAAGGCTTTTCTTAAGAGAGCCTATGCAATATCCTTAGAACTTATGAGAGATGTTTTCTCATTGCCACTATCATCTCTGACAGTGATGGACAGAAATCTATTAAGTACTGCTCACAAGGGACTGGATTCTACAGCTATCATTAACCTTCAAGTGACAAGTAACATTAGCCCATCATTTTTGGTTATGGCTTCATCATAAGCACCTCTTGGTAATAAGATAGCTGCAAATATTGAACACCAAATGTTTCAGTGACCGAAGGCTTTTTTCAACTACAACCTCCAATGGCTCCAGAACAGTGGGAGCAATCACTTCTGTGTTACCAAAATCTTTGGGGTTCTCTGTGTGTCATGCTTCATTCTAATTGGTTAATACCTGAACATTTATCTCTTGCCTGCTATTTCCTCACACTGAAAGTCACTGTCACACATGTACACAAAAACAGAAAACTTGAGGCTTCTGAGGTGCTCATGGTATCTTGTGTAGAGAAGTTAGTATCAAAAGTGAAATAAAAAGATATATCATAGCTCTTAAGAACACCAGGTTTGCATCTCTGTTCTGACCCCACTAGCTGTGTGACCTTATGTAAGTCACTCAACCACTCTGAGAACCAGGTTCCTCATTTGTAAAATTTAAGAGCTTTTATGAGGATTCAATGAGATGATGTAAGCAAAACACTTATAGTACAGTGGAAACACTCAATAACGTTAGCTATTGCCAATACCTAGGTAATACAGTGCTATTAGAAAATGGAAGTTTGGGAGAAGGTGACACCAATGTGGTATAGAGGCTAGGGAGGGTTTCACTGAACAGGAAGGAAGAAAAACAATGTATCACATGTCAATTAATTTCATATGCCCCATTTCATTACGTTCTCATAGCAAGAAGTTTATATTATTCCATTTTTAGGATGAGAAAACTACAGATGAGAATAGTAAAGGGACTGAGCATGGACTGTCCAGACTGTGAGTAGCAGATTGTGACTCAAAATGTGGACTCCATGTCACTGCTCTCTCCATAATGTACATGGTGCTTATTTAACTGGGCCTTATAGGAAAGGCAGCATTTTGGCAGATGAACATTTAGGAGAGCAGGTGGGGGAGCTTTCCAGGTCGAGAAAACAGCATAGGTAAGAACAGCATAGTGGTGGCAACAGCCACATTGGGAATACGGGTTGTGTCCCTAAGTGTGTCCACAGCAGATCAGGCTTTTATATAACTAGCTCATTTTATATTCTTCAGGAAGAGAAAGGATGTTTAACAGGCCAGTTCAAGTATGAGGACAAATACCTGACGAGCCACAGTCACAGCAGACATCATTCCCTGGGAGCCGCTGGACATCCTCAATAATGGCTTTTGTCAGATCTTCCAGGCTGTTCTCCCCCGTGCTCTGCTCTCCACGGAAGGCCATGGTTAGGGCCTCTTCTTTGCTATTCGTCAATACTGATATCCATCTGTTATCAAAAACGCAAGAGGAAGAAGGCCTTTATAGGAGCATGGCTGTTGTTTTCTCCCTTCGCTGCAAAAAATCTACCTTCATCAGGAACTTCCAAAAGAGAAATTCTCTCCCAAAATAGCAACAAAGTGAGAGAATATAAAAGAAATTAAACTTGAAGGAAAGTAAGAGTTAAAAAATGGAAAGCAACATATAGGGGAAAATGAGAGGAATGAGAGGAACAGATGAGAAAAGGGAAATATCAAGGTAACTGAGGGCTTGCATGAATATAATATACAAGGCGCGCACTTTTCGGTGGAGGCAGAGTAAAGGGAACGTCAGAATGGAAAGGACTAATCAGGGACTAACCCAATGGAAGGATGAGAAAGAAATGAGAATGGATACGAGGCAGGAAAGAAAGTTTAGCAAAAGGCATCTATTCTCTGGAAGTCCATGTCAGTGGGGACACTTAAAAGTGAAAATAAAGAGATATTTCATTAGCAGCCATAAAAATCTATGCACATGAAAAAGGCATGTTAACATGGAAACATGACATTTATATTACGAAATGAACAGTGTAGGCTAACTACATATACAGTATGACCACCATATTGTTTGGTAACAATATAACCCTTTGCTAGCAAAACAACATAAAAACCCAGTAACAGTGGGATGATTAATAAGCTATGAAATAATCACAAAGTGGAACAGTTAAACAGGCATTACAATTTAAGTTTTCAATAATTTTTGGATGACACTGGAGAAATGTGCACAATAAAGTGCTCTGTAAAATAAACATGAGAAAAACCTGTTATATAACTTCCAATTTAAATGTATGTATATATTATATATTTCTATTTGGGGAAAAAGGCTAGAAGGAATTTCACCAAAATGTCAATAGTGGTTGTCTCTGAATAATTTTCTGTGGGAAAAAATTGCTAGAGGGATTGCTTGCCTCTGTGACTTTCTGTAATTTTTAAAATCTAAAAGGAGCTTGTATTACTTTTATGAATGAGAGGGAAAAAAGCCAAATTTAGTTTTAAAAAGAAAATGAAAAACATTTCCAGACCACTATTTTTTCTTACCTACTACACAGACAGCTAATGTTTGCTCTCCACAGATAATACAAAGGTTCAGAAGTGGGTCTCTGCTTTCTTGTGTATTGCAAGGTGAAATGGATATGAAACAAAGCATTGTCTACAAAAGGTTTTGAATAGGTAACAATGACGGGAAGAGAATTAAAAAACCAAACCAAACCACGTTCTTGGAGTACGTGAATGCAAGTCACACCTCTGACTCTAGGTGGCATTCACCTTCAGTATGTTGTGAGAAACATGTTTGCATAGCTTCCCTTTTCTGTTATGGAGAAAACCAAACATTTCAAAACCAATTGTCTAGGAATTGGTAAGGCGGGCATTTGATACCTTTTAGATTAAATAGTATTTTTTCCCTATCATTTAGTCTCAAGTTAGAACCTAGAAATTCTTTTGTCAAAAACAATTAAAAAAACTGGGTTCAATAGAACTGATCATTGCACTTTATCAGCAGCAGTTATGTGACTAGGTTTTTCACTCTGACTACAGAGTGTCTGCTTTGCTTTCTTCAAGTGTTAGGTATGACATCTAGCTATCTAATATTGACCAGTATCTACTATGTACCAAGTACATGTAAATTTTGAAATACATTTGAGCAACCCAAATCAGAAAATCTGAAATCTGAAACACTTTTAATCCCAATTATTTCAAATAAGGGATATTCAAACTGCAGAATCCTCCAACAAGCCATAAACTGAAGCCCAAGAAAGTTACATGACTTGCCCAAGGCCCTGCAGCTGGATTATATCAGACCAGATTGGAATAAAAAAACACTTTTGTCGACCACCTTTTCAGAGCTCCTTACATTTGCCTCTTTACTCAGGAACTTTTAACAAATAAAAAAAAATGCCATGATAATCAGAAAATACATATTTAAAGGATGATTTTCTAGAGGAAATAATTTAAGTTTGGTAGAATGGAATGGGTTAACTTTCAAAAGGGTTAAGAATCAAAGCAACTATCTCTGACAATATCTTTTGACTTTTAAATTATTTTAAAGTAACAAGCATACTCCAGAAGTATAAGAAACACAATAATGCATAATTGTATCTTAATACTTTAAAAGTCACTTTGAGCTTTACGAGATAAAAAATAAATTGGCACTGTGCTAGGAGCTTTATACCTTTTATCCTCTCAAAACCCTGCAAGTGAGGTAAGTAATTCCCATCTTACTAATGAGAAGAACTAAGCCAGATGATCTGCATAAGGGTAAAAGGCCACAAACCATGGTGGCACATGCCTGTACTCCCAGCTATTTGGGAGGCTCAGGTGCGAGGATCACTTGAGCCCAAGAGTTCGACTCCAGACTGGGCAACATAGTGAGACTCTGTGTCTTAAAAAAAAAAGCCAATTACCAGCAGAGCCTGGACTAGAAGCCAAGTTGGCCTGACATTAAACATGCATCTGGCTCTTTTTGTATCTGCCTCCTTCCTCAGTGAGAAGGAATTTCTTTGTTTAATTTCACTGGACATTTTCACATGAGAAAAAACTCAATGAAGTAGTGAAATTGCCTCTATGTAATCTGGAGGTAAATGAAGAACTGAGCCTTCCCTCCAGGGCATGTGCATTCTTTGTGGACTGCCATTCCCTCCTACATCACTGAAACCAAAGTCCCCTTATCACCACCAGCTCCCAAAGAGAGTTCAAGTGCAAAATGTGCACCAACTTCAGGATGGACCAAGCAACCCTTTTATTAAAAAATGTTAAATCCTACAGGCAGGAAACCAATATTTCTTTAAAACTGGGACTGAATTACCTATAAGTCATAAGAGTAAATGTAACATTGAATGCCTGGGTTTGAGAGAAAATATATATTTTCTGATTATCATGACAAGAGAAAGTGGATGGTTCCTGCCTCATATGACGTGCTCACCTATCTTTTCCAATTAGGGCTTAGAGGAGGGGGAAGGAAGAAAAAGTGAAATCAAAGAAGTTGAAATAGTATGCTAAGGTGATTTTGGAATGCTGCCTGGGTTCAAATCCCAGCTTTCTAGGACTATAACCATGGGCACACTGTGCCTGTTTCCTCATTTGCAAGCTAGAGATAAACGTCCCTACTTTCTGGGGTTGTGAGGATTAATAAGTCAGGATGTGCATTCAGTGTAGTAAGATCTCTATTTTTATTAGAAATATTATCTCTCTCTGAATCTGTAGGTGGAAGATCAGCCCTCTGACTTCTCCCTTTCTCAGTTGATTTCTAGTCACCCTCCAGTCAGTCAGCTCTATACTCCTAACATCAAGCCACCAATCCCTTCCTTCCTATTCCACCCTGTTGCTTCTAGGCCACCAGAACCTCCTACCTGGAGTGTATTTATAATCTCTCATACCTTCATGAGTCAGCTCAGGTTTACCTTCCTCTAGGAAATTATCTATGAGCCACAGCCCCAAGAACCCAAGAAGGTACGTGCCCTGAGTATGTGCTTTGCGTCCCTAGCACATGGCCTCCTCTGTCCTTCAACTTAGCATCTACACCATGTCATATCGCCTGTCTCCTCTAGCAAACACCGATTCCTTCAGGGCAGGGCCTTCGGCTAATGTAACATTGTATTCTCAATGCTTTGCATAGTTCTTGGCATATAGTCAGCATTCATTAAATATTTAGGGAATGAATAGCTAATTGGACCTTTCTCCTCCTTTTCCTTTTCTCTAAGCTTTTGTTTTTCCTCCGTTTTTCCCAACTCTGCATCCTTTCTACTACCCCTGTCCTAGTCTCTTTCTAACCCCTTATCATTTCTCCTTTGAGATGGGGAAAGAGTAAAATTCTCCAGAGAAGAGTATGTGTGTGAAAGCAAGAGAGAGAGAGAGAGAGAGAGAGGGAAAGAGAGAGGAGGTGAGTGTAAGGCTACAAAGTAGGTGAACAAAATTCCATGGCTCTATGAAAATATAACCAAGGAAGGAAAATAGCATTTAGTGTGTGCCACTGATGAGACAGGAAGCTTGATAGTTCATGAAACTTGGTCTAAATTATCCCAAGTACTTATTAGAAATAAAAAAAAATGTAAACACTACAAAAAAGGTAATTGCCCACTTTAACCCAAATGTCCCTCCCTCAAGCAGCTGAGAATGTAATAGTCACACATTGTCTTTTTCAGTCCAGGCAAGCTACAAGAAGGAAAGGGGAATGCAAATGGTTCAGGACCAGGGATAATGTTTTAAAAAAGGGGGGGGACTGAGGCTGCCTATGGTTTCATACCTGGTCAGGTGAGTGTAGGATTCCAACCCAGGAATATGTGATACCAAACCTGGTCCTTCCTTAGACACCAGGCTCCCTTTAACTGAGCCATGTTCACCCCAGTGAAAGGTACCTGCCAGTATTCTTCCTTTAGCACCAGGCTCTCCTAATCTTCTCCCACTAACAACCAAGCATCCAGGTAGACTGGCTGATGCATTTGGCCACTACACATTGAAGGTGCCATTCATAAGTAGAGGTGATGTGACTAAAAGGTACATAAGGCACAGTCCTTGCCCTCAACAAGCTCTCGCTCTCTATAGGGCTGAAGATGTGCACCAGAGTATCACAGAGGGGTGTGAAGAGTCTTCGGGGAGAGAGGAGGGAGTAATAAGCCCAGGGGTGGTGAGGCTTGAGCAGAATCCTGCAGGAGGCACCAGAGTTTACTGAGTAGACAAGACTGACCATCACAGACAGAGAAGAGCCACAAGTGACACTCCAGAGGTGAGAAAGCAGGGTGGAGAGCCATGGGGAGTAGGTCTTACTAATGAAAACATCAAGGTATCTTGCACAGTAGAGAGGCACTTTTTCAATCCAAGGCATTGTACTGTTATTTCAAAACTACTTACGCTACATAATCCTGCTCATCTTCCGCCTGAAAGTGATACGTCCTGTTATCTAAAATACAAAAAAGAAAAGTGAGTGAAACCTTAGAAAGCAGAGCACTTTCAGGTATAATGAAGATTTTTAAACTTCCTGGGGGGAAAAAAAAACACAGTATAAGTAGGATTTTAGTAATATTTTAGTTTTATACCATGGTGTTTCAGTAGCTACACAATTCATTTTGTCTATATTATTTTTCTTATGTGCAATAGGAATATAATAACATAACCATAAATACCATGCACTTATCTGATACCTCATTTGAAAAAGCAGTAAGAAGGGAAGAAGGTTCTACCTGATCCAAATGCATTTCCACGAGAAGCTGGAGTGCCTGCTGCCAATTCAGTATTTCTTTTTCCATTTTAAATTTGATTGTTACCATGTTTTTTTTTTTTTAAATCTCCTTTTCAGAACTGATTCATTCACTGTTCCCCTGTTCACTCTGACACCTAACCCACAGGGTTTCTCCAGCACTAGGTATATTGTGCCTTAGCTGTCAGGGCTACTCTCTAGCCGAATCAGGCTGCAGGAAAGGAAGGCTCAACCTCTGCTGCCCTGGTAAGGGAAGGAGAGGTCTAACTTGGATACTTCAGGCAGGTTTATAATGAGGGAAGCTTTTTCTTAAAATTCAGGATTTTTGAGAGAGCTTCAATATACTCAGGTCAAACTAATATTTACTCAGCATTTCCTGTGTGACTGCTCCATGTTAGGCAATCATATCCCTCATTTTCCCTGGGGAGAGAGATGATGTGTATGTCAAAGAACACACCATGGGTAGCAGCACCTGACAGCCTTGAATGAATCCCTGCTTTACTGCTGTGTGATCTCGTGTAAGACACTGAACCTCTCTGAGCCTCAGTTTTTCTTCTGTAAAGTGGGAAAGTGATAGGATTTTGTGAGAATTAGCAATACTGTACATAAAGCACTCAGCACATAACAGATGCCCTATAACTGACAACTATTATTGTCAGAACCTACAGGTTCTCCAATCTAGGGGTTTTTGGCTTTGTGAAGTCATATAATAATTCCAACTTTTCATATTTTTTTCTCATCAATTATCCAAGAAATCTCTTGGTCATGAAAATCAAGGGGAATCTAAATTTTATTAAGAGGCTGTAGAGAATCTGGCTTAGACTGCATAAAGAGCCCCATAACTGATTAATCTTTTAAGTTAGGACTGCTTTTGAGCTTTCATTCATATAACTGTACCAAAAGGATTTCAAGGGGCAGGAAAGTATTTTTGTGCTTCTACACATTGATTATGTGCTTTGGCTGTTGGCCTGCCTTGCTGGGTTGTGATACAGAAGGAAGAATACTTAGGTCAGTGCTGCAAGATTTCAGGATATTTGTGAGAGTCACTTCCCTGGCACTGCCATCCTCTTTCTTTACAAGGAGGTGTCCCTTCAGCTACAGTGTGGGTCAGTAAGTGCAACCACAAGAACCAGCACAAGCAAGGGGAGCCAGCCCAGGGGGAAAACATCCCCTCCCACCCTACAAGCACTATGAGAATACAGGCCACAGGCTGTGGGGTGGGTGGGCTCATTATGTTCCCTTTCCACAAGAGAAAAGGAATCTCTTAACCATGAAGTAAGAGAGGGATGGAATGTAGTGCCGTCAATTCATGAAGTCTGAAGGCAGTTCTGCTTGGAAGCAAGAAAAATGTTTTTTTTTTCTTTAAGTGGCTGATTTTACAGGGCTAGAACTCTGGGCAAATTAGCTGTACACATACAGCGGCACACCGGTATTTCCAGATCTACATCAGTGCTTCTAAACCGCAGGTGCACATTAGAATCACCTGGGGGCTTTAAAAAAGAAAAAAAGAAACCTGTATCTGGCCCTCACACCAAAGATTGTGATTCAGCAGATCTAAGAGACAAATGGGAATTTGCTTAGAAAAATTTCTCCAAGGTGCTAAAGCTATGTGCTCACAGTCATCATTGGTCTAGCTCAATGTACACAACTACATTTTATTCTACTGCTGGTTGGTCAGATCTGACACTGCAATTCTATTCCAACTGCAGGCGGGCTCAGTGCAAATTAAGAGACCTGAGGGATCTTCCTAGAGCTGCATATGCAGGAATAATATGAAACTGTTCAGGTGCCAACTCTGAAGAACCCTGTTTGGAAGAGCTGCTGTTTTAATACCCAGAGGATGGAAATGTGCAGGTGTCAGAAGCCATAATAACCGACTCAGAGAGAAAAGGACTCACGTGATATCAGGTCAAAAGACTTCTTGTCTTCGGCATTTGGTTTCACCTGGCAGGTGAGAAGGTTCAACTTAGCTGGTTGCCTGTTAGACTGGAAAACAGGGAAAATGGAGAAGTTATATGCAGCACTACTCTCTTGCCTGCAGGTCCAGTGGCCCACAGGGCAGGCATACAGTTCACAAGGTCTGCTCAGTGATCCAAGAATACATGTTTAGTAGTAAAGAAAACAGACACCTGGACATTGCTCCAAGTTTACTGCAAGAAGAAACCAGATCTGTAAGGTTCTGTCCTCAAATATAAGCTTGTAAACTCAGTAAAGTCTTATTTATCCCGTTAGAATTCTGAATCTCATTAAAGGAAAAAAATTTAGGTGCCCTACTAACTGTCTTTTTTTATATTCTAAGACAGAGTCTCACTCTGTTGCCCAGGCTAGAGTGCCGTGGCATCAGCCTAGCTCACAGCAACCTCAAACTCCTGGACTCAAGCAATCCTTCTGCCTCAGCCTCCTGAGTACCTGGGACTACAGGCATGTGCCACTATGCCCAGCTAATTTTTTCTATATATTTTTAGTTGTTCAGCTAATTTCGTTCTATTTGTGGTAGAGATGGGGGTCTCGCTCTTGCTCAGGCTGGTCTTGAATTCCTGACCTCGAGTGTTCCTCCCACCTCAGCCTCCCAGAATGCTAGGATTATAGGCATGAGCCACCGTGCCTGGCCAGTTGACATTTTTAATACTATATCTTACTGTGAAATATAGGTGAGCTATATTTCATTTATTCTTTCAAAATGACCCCAGTAATCTATTATTCCAAACCTCATGTCCCAGCTATCTAGGAATTCAAAGTTTTGGCTGCAAAGCAAAATGACTTCACTCAGAAATACAAGACAATTACTACCTGTGAGGCAATGCTTAACAAGCCTCAACATCTGGAGAGAGTGAAAATTAATAAGGATTTCACATCACATATAAGCAAATCTCTTGGTCACACACGTAAAACAGACCCTGTAATATCTAGACAGTCATGCTAACTTAAGGAGTCTTGCTACATAATCATTCTGGTCAAACTCTTTCCTGCCCTCCTGCCTGCATTGTCCAAGGTCACATGCTGGCCAATGGCTGATACTAGGAGCTCTGTTTCCTGTATAAGCTCATCAAAGAGTGAAATGTCCAAGTGTCTGGGCTGGGCTTTGCTTAAACATGAGAAGCTTGCAGAAGTAAGCTATGAATCTCTTCAGTTGGACCTATGTGCCTGCCTCAGTTGACAGTCATGATTCTGAAAATCTCCACACAAGGAGCATTTCCATCTGGGGAATGTAAATTGTTAGGGAAAAGAGAAGAGGAGGGGTTAGAGAGAAGTCACATCAGTGAACCAATCAAAGCCCCAAACAACAGAGATGGCCTATGATCAAGACAACTTCAATGACATGCTTCATCTCTCTGCCTAAATAATGGGCATTGGAAAATTAATTTCTGTTTACCTTCCTATACTCTCTGGACTATTTTCAAGATTTTTCTCCCTCTGTAATTTCAATGAGAAAAGACACAAAACAATGCCACTTGTCCAGTAGCTATCTGTCTCAAAGCAAAGTGTCTTGGGGGAGGAAGTGAGAGACCCCAAGTGATTTAGTATTCACTGTAAGTACCTTTGATTGAGAAATGGAACTAGAAGTACAGGAAGAGTTTTGCCTAAGAGCAAATAGTGCCTGGGACAGGATTCCTGTACTACAGAACTGGTCACCAAACCCAGATGGGGAGATAGGAGGAACTCATGAGCCTAAGTTCTCAGAAAAGACCTGGAGATTGGGTTGCTAAAAGGCTCAGATGCCAAAATCAGCCCAAAGGCACAGTCCACTATAAAAGGAATTGTTAGTACTACATCTCATCTTTTTGGATGTTGATAAAATTGCTGGATTTCACATATGAATTACTATGACGTATGACTGCCTGAAAAGGTAGTGACTCCAGTAAATGGTGAGAATTCTTGTTACAATATTATGTTCCAATTTGGAATCCACATTTAAAGAAGGATGTAGAAAAGTTTAGGGAGATCAAGAGATGATTAAAGGGGTAGAAAATGGAAACTTTGAAGATGAGTTAAAGGCAGTACTTAGTCCAGAAGAGAGAAGGCCAAGGGGTAGCTTAATAACCATCTTCATGTACAGGAAGGTTGTTTTGGGGAACGTTGGGCAGCTGTTTTCCATTTGCACAGAGAAAAAGAAATGTACTTAAATTGTAGAAGAAGATTTGGGCCAGACATAAGAAAGAACTTCCCAAGCTTAAGTTGATTATGCATAATAAGAGGTTTAATTTTTCTTAAGTAAAGAAAACTCTATCTCTGAAAAATTTAAAATTTTTTAGACACTATTCAAGTTTGAATGTGGCAGAGGGTTAACCTGATTTCGCATTTTTCCCAAATCTAGGTTTCTCTGGTGTTTCTGAACCTTACACCAACAGACACAACCAAGCAATACATATAACATCTTTAAAAAAGTAAAATCCACTCAGCTCTGTATTAACTGCATTCAGGCAAGTTATTAATAAATAGCACCACTCACCTCTCATTTCTAGCATGAACTATTTCAAAGTATTTTGCTGGAAAACTTCTGATGATAAGGGTTTTATCAGTTAAAGTCATTCCATGTTTGACCCACAACTTCAATGGTGATGACATATGATGTTTATTCTCTTAGAAGTTTGTCAAATCTACTGGACTAACATTTGCCACGTTAACATGAACCTTATCTTGCCTATACATAGTTTTCTTCCCCAAATTGGGCTACCAGTAAGGCATTTGACAAATGACCTATCATCCCAAATGTGACTTTGAGGAGCAAAGAACACAATTTTTTTTTCAATGTGTTTATGTTTTTTTTTCTTCTTTTTTTTTTTCTTTCGGCATATTATGGGGGTACAGATTTTAAGGTTTCAATAAATGCCCATTCCCCCCTCCCCCCACAAGTCTGAGTCTCCAGCATGACCATCCATAATTTTTGACTATATGAGCAGCTGGCATATCCAGCATGGAGCCTAGGAATACCAGAAAAGGGAGTAGTATGTTGAATCAAAGTCCAAGGACCAAGGCATCAGAAGCACAGAAATCACTACGGTAATAACAGCCATTCCAGATGTTTGTAAAACTTTCCGAAATTTCAAAGTACTTTCTCAATATTTAGTACTAATTTATAGGTATATTGATTAAAGAAGGTATAATCTTTCCTGGGGTTTCAGCAGACTAAAATCAAAGTAAAACTAAATGACTTGCCCTGGGCTACATTACAGTGGAACAGCTTAGGAAATACTTTCATACTGTTTAAGTACACGAGGGAAAAAAGGAAGAAAAAGAAAAAAGAAAGAAAAACCCAGGAAACATCTATGTATTGAGTCCTTGCTACAGATGACTCCTGTCCTGCTCAGACTAAAAACCGCAGCCTGGACCAGGACATTCATGTACCAGTGCTGGCCTATCATTGCTCCCACTGCTGCTACACATTCCTGCATGCCCGTTCACTCCCTTAGTTTCTTCAGGTCTCTCATCAATCAGCACCTCCTCCAAGGTGGCCAGTTCCAGCTTTTTACACCCTGTTGTATTCTCTTCCTGGCTCTTATCACTCTTTATTTGCTTCTTGTCTTTCTTCACATTACGGGCACCCACTTTGCACAGTAAGATGTGTCTGGCATACAGCAGGTACTCAATAAATATTTATCAAGTGAATGAATGCATTCCAGTCACCTTTCTTGTACTATCTCATGTACTACCTGTGAGGAAACTCTCTTTAGTTTCCTTTACTAAATGAAGAAATGGAAGCACAGCGAGGTTAATTAAGTAACATTCCTAAGATCTCCCAGCAAGGAAGCAGTTTCGCTGGATTAGACCCCCCACTCCTTCTCTTCTGCGTCCACTGTGCGGTACAACTTGGATGGACAGTGCTATGGTATACTTCAGGGAATAACAGCTAGATGCCCTAGCACACGAAAATATCTCCTCCTGGGAAGAGAGGGTTACCACTAAATGGAACAAAGGTTTCAAAGATTAACTTCTATTTTAATATCTTCTTGGGTTATCTGAGTCTTCCAAGTACTTACTTTTTATAATTGATAAAAAGAGAAATTTTAAAAGCCCATTTAAAATTCCTATAGACTTACTCATTTGACATATATTTATTAAGCCTTTACCATACTCCAAGCACATCTGAAAAACATGAAGTCCATGCCATCAAGTAGCCACGGGAAACAGACCTGATCACGTACCTAGAATGTGCCTGGTGCCCTGGGGAGCCTGGGGACCTAAGGTTAAGAGTTTGTACCAAGGACGTGGGCAAGACTCCACTGGGGCAGGCTCAACCTTCAGTGAGGACGGAGTATGAACAAGCCAGAAGAGTGGGAAGAGCGAGGAGGAGCAGGTACAAAGGCCTGGGGCATGGCAGGGACATGCAGCAGCAGGCGATGTGGAGCAGAGAGGGATGGGGCACATGTGGCCCTAAGGAATTCACACTCCCATCCCAGGATCTCTGGCAGCCTACCCAAGGAAGTCAATCAGGGGAGCAACCAATCACCCACACTTTAGGGGGTGGCTGGGGGAGGAGACCCGGCGAGGCTGAGAGAATAAGAGGCAGATGATCACTGATGAGAGCCTGAATTAAAGCTATGGCAGTGGCACCAGGGGAGGCAAGATACAGCTAAAAACAGAGGCCACTCAACAAATAAACTCTACATAGCAGGAGTCACCCAGCACAGGACTGGAGTGGTGAGTGGAGGGAGGGATACGATGTCCCTGAGGGCTCTCTTGAGGAGTATCTCTTTCAAAAGCTACTGGTGTTTCTACTCCAGATACAGTTAGGATGCCTTTCAAATAGGAAGATTTTTATGGCTGTTCCTCAAACTCCCAAGTTATCCCTCTACAGATTTTACTTTTCATTAAAATAATGCATATTTCACTGAAGAAAAATTAGTAGCTAGAGAGTGCAAAGAAGCAGCCAAACATTACTTGTTAACACCATTTCTATATCCAGCAATAATCATTGCCAATACTTTGGTTTTAACAAGATATGTGAGACTTGTTTTAAAAAGTGCATTGTATATGTCATTTTGTAA